AACATAAGTGTATAGATATAGTTTTGATCAAGAATACGAAAATGGTTTTGTAAGATATTTAAGAGTTTTGAACAATAAATAACAATGACTTGATGTCATTTTAATAAACATTTCAAAAGTAATACATTTGATAACAAAGTATATTTAAGATACAAAAAACCTTTTCATACATCACATTTTGAAGCATGTAAAATCAGTTGGATTAAAACATAGTTATAAATCACATGTGATTGATTCTATAGCATGCTGTTTTCTACTTATATTCCCCCCCCCCCCACCACCACCACATTAAAGCATTTAAAATCATTTAAAATATTGATTAAGGGGTATGAACTCACCTGTAGATGGTGGTTTGAATGAACTGAACGATGTAGGATTGCTAAGTGTCAAGAGAAGACTTGTACACACTCAAGATCCTAGTTAACATATAATCACACATATATGTATCCAATTAGTCTTTACATAACTAACTGCCAATGTTAAGACATCTTAGAACATGCTAAACACCTTATATAAGTGTTATAAGTCCTCAGGATTGGATCTAAGTTGTTGTAGGACAATGTTATTGGGTCTAGGGTTCCAAAGAACCCCTTTCTTGAGTTGACTCCTCAAGAACCATAACATAATGAGTTTACAGTCCTAAACCCTTGAGTTTACAACCATAATCTCTTAAGCCCTTGATCATTTGATGTTTTGAAGCCTTACATGTTGCTTAGAAGTATTTCTACTTGATAGTTTAGTCCTTTGAAGAGATTAGGGGACCCCTTAACTCTTTTGAGGAGTTCATGGACCTAAGACCAAATCCCTTAGGGTATGTGGCCGTAATCTCTCATGGACATGGTGTTTTTTTGCTTTCAAGTCCTACACATATTAGGGTACGACTCTAGGCTAGTTTCACAAGGAAAGGTGTAACAGCCCGGATTTCCAGGTATCTTTTATTCGCATATTTTTTTGGTGTTTTGTGAGGGGACTCGGCGAGTTAGAGCTCGAACTCGCTGAGTAGGGTCGCGGTTCTGGACGCGGGTTCGCGCCTGGACTCGGCGAGTCCGCGCTGTTTGATGAAACCCTAATTTTCCGGTCCTAAGCTCTATTTAAAGGAACTTATGGCCCTTCATTGCGGCCACCTTGATCCTTGAGAGCACCAAAGCAACTAAGGGTTCCTGTGAGTGAGATAAGAGGCTATTGTTCACCAAATTTGTGTGTATTTGCAAGAAAGGAAGGGGGAAAGTCAAGCTAGAAGAGTTGGGAGCTTGGATCTACTTCCATTTCGCCAAGGGAAGCTTCTTGAGGTATCTTTCAGAGCTTATTTCCGTGTTTATGTTGATATGGTCAAATCTAGGGTTTCTTCTTGCCTTGTTTGCTTTGTAATTGAAGTGTGAGAGGTCCCATGGAGATATGGTACCTAAATCTGGACCTTAGCATGTCCAGAAAGTCCCAAATGCTATGCTTTATGTCCTTCCTTTTGGGTTGGAGACTAGGGTTGCCATACTAGAGGTCATTTCTCCAAAAAGAACCTTGTAAGTGTTGCATGGTAGCCAAGACTGTGACTTTACGTGATAAATGAGCTTAGGAGGGCCAGATCTATGAGTGTATGGAGCGGATCTGAACTTAGAAGCAAGTTTGAGTTGATGCATGGCATGGACTCACCGAGTCTGAAGAACAGACTCGGCGAGTAGCATGAAGATTGTCCTTAACCATTCAGTGAATGGTCCTACCGAGTTATGGTTGACTCAGTGAGTCATGGAGAGTTACAGAGGGATTGACAGGTGGACTGAGTCGAGCTGGAACTTGCTGAGTTGTCCTTGCGACTCGGCGAGTTGAGTCACGGTGGCCCCGCGATTCATGACCAGGTGGAACTCGTCGAGTCAGGGGAGTACTCGACGTGTCAAAGGAGAATCCTTGTGAGTTGGTGAAAATGCTTAGACTCGCCGAGTCGCTCTCGTGCACTCGCCGAGTCCGATCAAATTGACCATTGACCGTTGACTAGTGTTGACTTGATTGGGACACTCAACCTTAGTGGTAAAAGTATTAATTAGAGATATATGATGTTATAGGGGGATTGTAGCTCGGGGGTTCGAGCACAAGTGATTTCCAGAGTTCGCGAGTTATCAAGATATACGAGGTGAGTCTTCTCACTATACTGTACCCGGAAGGGTTTGACTGTGTGACCGGAAGGTCGGATATGATATGAGATATATGTATTATGTGTGATAAGTTAATCGTTATATGTGCCATGTATGATATGCTTGATATGGGCCAGAAGGCATTATGTTATGAGCCGGAAGGAGAATATGTTATGGGCCGGAAGGCGTTGTAATGTGGACCGTAAGGTTGACATGGGTAGGACCAAAAAGGTTTACCCAGTCGGGAAGGAAGTCCCCTGAGACACATGGACCAGAAGGTCAGGGCCTGGTTAGGCGTATGTGCGTAGGTAGTATTTTGGGGAACTCACTAAGCATTTATGCTTACAGTTGTTGTGTTATGTGTTTCAGGTACTAGCGAGGACCGTGGGAAGGCGCCGGCGTGATCATACACACACTCGGGGAAAACTATTTTTATGAACTTTGTGATGTAATCGGTCGTGACAATATTGTTTACATTGGAATCCTAAATTATTACTCGATGTTTTGATGTTTGTGAAAATGAAAATTTGGTTTTAAAATTTACGTCGTTACAAAAGGAAGGGACTAGGGCACACTTTTGGCCCTTAAAGAAGGGTTTACGGTCCAAGGTGTTCTTGGTCCGTAAGCTCTTTGATCTTGTTGTTTTCTTATAATTTCGTGGTTATTAGACACATAACAAGCCCTACTATACTCTTAGATAGAAGCACTCATGATTTGGGATGAAAGGCCGAAGATCCTTGAGAGAGAATCGGGTTTTTCTCTAGTTGGAAATTGAACAAATGAATAAATATGGCTAAGGACCATATATATACCCCTGGGGGTTTAGGACCACAAACTCCACGCTTGGGTCCTAAATTTCCAATTTCTTGTAGTATGAAATTTTATTGTTGCATAATAAACCCTAGAGCATCCCTTCTCCTGGCATCTCTTAAAGTGCGAATCATAAAATGCTCAAACTTATCCTAATTAGTCTGAAAATTAACAGTAACTGTTCTGAATTCTATTGACTTGATATGTTGTATAGAATGTAAATTTTGGGTTGTCACAGATATGGTCCTCCTGAAGGTATCACCCTTGAAGGGTGTCATCAGATTCCAGAAGCGGGGCAAGCTAGGTGCCAGATTCATTGGTTCGTTCGGGGTTTTGGCTCGAATGGACCAGGTTGCTTACCGTTTGGATCTTCCAGCAAGAGAGCTCAGTCAAATACACAATAGTTTTCGTGTATCTCAGTTGCAAAAGTGTTTGGTGGACGAGTCTGAAATTGTACCATTGGAGGATATTCAGGTTGATAGCAATCAGAACTACATCGAGAGACCCATTATGATCTTAGATCAGAAGATGAAGGCCTTGAGGAACAAGGTAGTCCAGCTAGTAAAGGTGCAGTGGCAGCACCGAAAGGGTTCAGAGTGGACATGGGAGTCCGAGGAGGAGACAAAGTCTGATTCAAGTGGGAATGAATTCTAACGTCTGTCTCTCGAGTGAGGAAGAAGTTGTGAAGAAGGAAAGCAAAGGTTGGGGAAGAAGCTTGAGCTCAGAGATCTGGACCAGACTCACTCTTTCTCACCAAAAGAAGGTATAAAGCACTGAAATTTCTTCCACATATGCTAGAGCTAGAGTTATTGAAGTTTTGGACATCTTTAGGTCCAAAGGTTGGACCTTGATCATGAAGATTCATTTTTGAGCTTCGGATTTCCATCCTTTAGGCTCAAAATACCTTCTTAGCAATAAAGTTTGATCTTTGAGGTTTGCATGAGGTCATGCATGAGATCTAACCATTTCTATTGAGTTAGGATATTGCTTTTTGAAGTTTGAACCTCTTTAAGCCATCCAAGCCATCAAGTAAGCAACTTTATGGCTTAGGACATAGAATAAGACGTGGATCTGTATTTGTAGCTTCTAAATCGATGGATTAAGCACTTAATAGGAAGCTCGGCATACAAGGAGGTACGCACAACGTACAAGCCAACAGTCGGTACGCTCATTGTTCCTAGAGGTACGCCCCGTGTACGTGGCAGTTTGGGCTTTGAGCAATTGGGCCTCGATGTGGGTTGTACTTTAGACATAGAGTCTTTGGGGCCATGTTGTAACCCACACCATAGCAGGGGTAAAATGGTCATTTTACCTTGAGATTAGTTATAAATATTTGATTTAGTGTGTATGGAATTTGTAGTCGGGGAGTTACGGAGCAGCAGTCAGATAGTTTCAGATTTAGCATCTCAGTAGCCAATGTTACGAGGTTAGTTTCCTTCCAGTAGGAACGGGTCTACGGCTACAATGTTGGCCCGTTTAGTTAGCAGTAGTTCCGGACTTTGGTCTGATGCAATAGTTCAGTGTGCTTGATGTCCTTGTGATTCAAGCATGTTTATTATGTGTTTCGGATTTCGGTCCGATGCAGTATGTGCGTTTATGCTAGTAGTATGTTCGGATTTCGGATTCCGGACTTCGGTCTGATATAGAGGGCAAGGCCCTAGTTAGTTTTCGGACTTCGGTCCGATGCAGTTTCCGGACTTCAGTCCGATGCAGTTTCTGGATTTCAGTCCGATGCAGTAGGCAAGGCCAAGTATGTGTTCTATATGTTATTGTATTGTATGTGGTAGTTTGGGGGAGCTCACTAAGCTTCGTGCTTATAGTTTTCAGTTTTTGTTTCAGGTACTTCTACTAGCAAGGGGAAGAGATCAGGATGATGGCATGGCACACACCACAGTTACAGTTTTATCATGGGAGTTTTATTCAAATGTTGCGATACGATATTATCTTCAGTTTTGATTTGATACATTTATTATGGCATTTTGAGACATACGATGCATGGTTTTATTATATAACATTCGATGCTATGGTTTTTAATAATGTTAAAACAAACATTTTTGGGTTGTATTTATGGGATGTTACACATCTGTTTCTACTACTCCTATTGTTATCCACTCACCCACATTCGACAACATTTTCAATCAACCCATTACATCTTTGTTTGAATTCCAATCCACTGATCTACCTATCACTCATGAAGAAGAGGAAGCTCAGAATGATGATGAAAATGAGTTCGATGGTACTTTTTCAAATATCGAGTTTGATCCGGAAGAGGAAAACATTTTGGATAACATGTTACTTACCAGGAAGCAATTTAGAATTCTTAACAAAAAGCTTAATTCCCTTTTGCAAATTCAAGATGGTGGTGGGAATAAACATTCTGTTTCAAGTCTCGAAGTTGATATTATGCTAAAGCGTCAAGAAAATAGAGTTCATGAAGCTATTTTTGACATTAATCGAAATAACGAGAAACAAGTGAAGGCACAGTCATCGAATTTTGCTTATGATCTCAAAGAATTAAAGGTTGTGGCAAAGGAGAGACATATCTTGTTTATTCAAGATGTGAAGAAAGTTCGTGAAGATGTAAATTTCAAACTTCAAGAACTAAGGAAGATATGGGAAAAGAGGTTGCCGTTTTACGACAAGATTATTCATCTCTTCATCAGAAAGTTGATATCATAGCAAATGTTGTTACAAAGTTTTTCAAGTTGTATGAAGCTCTTGGTCTGAAGGTTGAGAAGATGGTTGTTGATGTTGTTTAAAGTTTTTCAAATATGAATCAATTGTTGGTTGAGTTAAAGGGTCTGGTGCTAAAAGCAAGTCTGGTACCATCTTCGTTAATAACCCCTAAGCTTCTTTCACAGAAGTTTTTTTTTTTAATAAACTACTCAAAAGGAGTTAGCCCCTCTATTGAAGTTGTTGAATATTATGCCAACGGATGCCCCACCAGTTTCCACAAGGGTGCAAGGGGAGAGAAGATAGGTATTGGCATGGGATCTATGTTCAGAACTGATGGTAGTTCTTCAAAGAAAAATGACGAAGATGTGAAGGTAGTAGGAAAAGTTTCTTCAACTCAAATTCCTATTTCATTAGTAACTATTTCAATAATTTCGACTTCCACCACAACAATAACAAGGCTTGTAGCAAAAGGAATCGTTATTGGTGGTTATGTTGCTGTAGGATCAAGTTCGAAACCTCTTCCTACCATAGAATAGTTACTAAGTAAGGGGAAGGGTGTCTTACATGAACCCTCAACTAAAGAGAATAAAGCTGCCATAGAACAATATATGGAGAAACAAAGGAAGATCCAAAGCATACTTTGAATCAGAGAAAATGATCCTCCTGGTATGAATAAACGAGATCCTACTAAGTACTACAACTATGAATACATCAAGCCACAATTTTTTCGGGTGAGATGCATTCATTTAGCAAAATACCTAAGAAGAGCTATGACATTGAGAACACTGACATCTATCAGTTAGATTTTCCGATAAATCTGATGATGTTTCGT